AGGGGGGCTGCCGGCCGGCCCCGGGGCGGCGGGGAGGGGTAGGCCTCGGTCTCCCCTTCCTGGGCCTCGGTCTCCCCTTTCCCGGGCCCCGGTGCCCTTTTGTCTCGCCGCGTGGTGAAGTGGCCGGGTCCCCGCGGCCGCGGAGGGGCTGGGGCCCGGCGGCCCCGGGCCGGGAGGGCCTCTCGGCGGGGGAGGGGCAGCGGGAGCGTGTTTCTCCCGACAGCGCGGCCGCCGGGCTCCCCGCGGCTCCTCAGCCCTTCTTCCCCCCCCTCCTCCACCTTCCTCACGCCCCCTTCAGCGGCTGAGTTCCCCCCGGCCGGCCCTGCGGGGGTGTCACAGGTGTCTGTCCCAGCCCTGCTGCTGCCCAACTCCGTGTCGTCTCCGGCCTCGCCGTTCCCCCCCCGGGCGCCCCCCTCTGCCAGCTGGCACCGGGGAATGGCGGATTCCAGCGGGAGTAGACGGCTCCTGTGGCCTCAGTGCAGGCTTGGGCTCCTCCCAGGGGACCGGCGGGCTCCGGGAGGGCAGGAGGGTGAGGGCAGGGAGGTAGGGGCCGAGGCAGCAGTTACTTTTATTCCTCCTTTTAATCTCTCACCTTCCAGTGAAAGTGCTTAGCTCCATTTCCCCGAAAGCAAACTCTTCCAAAGTTTGGGTAGTGTGGAATCGAGAGTCTCCAATCCCACGTACATCATCCTTGCGCTTTGATTTATTTTTTTTTTTTTTTCCCCCCCACCAGAAGTAAAGTTGCTGGATGTTCTTACAGCCTGCCCCACGCCAAAGGTGATGTGGTGCCTGGTTCTGTGGGTAACTCAGCAGTGGCTTGTTGCAGGGGCTGGGAAGCCGGTCGGGGTTGAGTAAGAACTATAGGTACTGGAGCTGTAAAATAGCAGAGAAAGTGTGTGTCTCAGAATATAGTGCAATAAAATAGAAATGAAGGGTGACTCCGTAGCCACCCTTGTGGCTCCAATTTCCACGGGCTCATCTGAACCAGAGTCAGTGAGGGTGGTGAGACACTGGCCCAGGTTGCCCAGAGAAGCTGTGGCTGCCCCATCCCTGGAGGGGTTCAAGGCCAGGTTGGAGGGGGCTTGGAGCAACCTGGTCTGGTGGGAGGTGTCCCTGCCCAGGGCAGGGGGGTTGGAACTGGATGATCTTCAAGGTCCCTTCCAACTCTAACCATTCTATGATTTTTGTCTAGCTGGGGCACTGCTGGCATCGTCCTGCAGCCACCCTGCCTCTGCTTGTGTAAGCAGAGACACTTTTTTATTCTTTCCCTACTGCTGGAGTTTGATCTCGTGTGTAGGGTAGGCCAGGGAAATCATTCAGCTGAAAACTAACCCAGGCAGGAGGGGAAAGAGGAGGAGAACCCAAGCCACAGGTCTCCCTAATTATTTTTTTTTTTAATCTAATTTACGATGTAGCTGTGCAAGGGATGGGGAGTGTGGAGCCAGGGTTTTTCCTTCCCTGCAGCAGAGTGGACTTTGACTGCCAAAGCTGATCGTTCAGCTGTGCCTTCGCACAGTGTTGACAGCATGTCTTGTGCTCGTGGGGAGGTCCCAGCAAGCATGGGAGCATGGAAATGGGTTTGGCTGTGGAGTTGAAAGGGCCTGGGGAGCTACGGGCACCCACTGCAGCTTGTGAAAATGGCTCTTGGTCCCTGTAACAGCGCTGAGGGAGGCTGGGCCATGTTTCAGAATAGTTGGTAGCATTTTGGCTCTCCCCGATTCAAAATGTGGTAGCGTAAGCATGTCTACCTCTAGCAGCAGCTCTCCTGTTGTTTGGAAATAGGTGAAGGTTGCAGAGAACAAGGCTGAAGCTGGTATTGGGGAGCTCCTGGGAGAGGTGAGGCCCAAGGGCTGGCTTGGAGCGGGGTGGCTGTTCGGGGTAACAGCTTCTTGGGGCCATAGCCCGGGTGTCTCCCCTCTTCCCCAGCAGTCACCCCTGGCACATCTCTACTTCGTGGTAAAGGTGCTGGAAGCGCAAGAAAATGCGTGTAGGAGGTTTAGCTGAGCCCTCTGGATCCAGCATATCTCCTAGATGTTGTGATAGTGCTGTTCCTTAATTTAATATGTGTGCTCGCTGCTGAACCGCCACCTGACGAAGGCTGCTGATGCCAGCACTCCTCACTGTAAGCGAGGTTACGCTGGGTATGTGTAAGTGCACGTCGTGCTTCCAGGAGTCCTAGCTAAAATTATCCCAGTCTGTTTGGGTCCAGTAAGGGGAAGAGATGCTGTGGCTCTCCCCACCAGAAGCGTTAGCCTCCCCGGCGCAGGAGGTGTGAGGCTGTGAAACAGGCTTTTCCGGCCTTTGGGAGAGTCGCTTCCTCTTCCTGCGAAGTAGGAAGACCTGTTCTGGGGTGGGTTAGGGGGCAAAGCCTTCAAATAGGGTGATGTGGAGGACCCAGGGACTCCTCGGCGTCTCCACCTTCCCTTACTCATGTGCTCCTAATAGTGACCCAGCAGCTGTGTCCCAGTTTCATGTGCTGGTTGTTCCTGCAGTGGATCAAAGGGACGGGAAATGGAGGAAACTGGAGC